TTTATTAATTTATTAATGTATTTATAAGGTTGGAAGATTTCAAATAATAATAATAATAAAATAATTATTGTACGTCTCTGTGCGCCTGTAAAATTTTAGTTATGTTATTTACGTACGTTAAAAATAGAAAAGTTGCAGAGGGGTGATTTTAAAGGCGTTGAAAAAATAAAAAAAATTATTATTATTATTATTTAAGTGTTTATTAAGAGCGGTAAAGGTTTCATTTCCTTACTTATGTAAATAAATTTAATATAAATTTATTAATTTGTAAAAATAATACGATTTTAATCATTAAAAAAAATAAAAAGTATTCGATGCTGCGATAGGCAGTAACAATAATAATTAAAAAAAAAAATTAAATTTATTTAATAGTAATGAATCATTTGATTTGATATTAATATCATTAAAAAACGCAAACTATTTATTTTATTTATTTATTTATTTATTTCCAATTTAAAAAATTATGCACGCATTAGAAAAAAAAAATATATATAAATGTGATTTTCTAAGTAAAGAATCAAATTTCATTGAATTTAAAACGTTAAGAATATTATACAAAAGTTTCAAACTACAATCATCAATTCATTCAAAGGTGAGAATATTTTTTCATCGTTTGTTGTAAAATAAATAAATAAATAAATAAATAAATATGTAAATATATACGACGTGTATTCTATGTATATAAAAAAAATACCGGGCAATAACTGACAAAAATAATCTGAGTTGGCAAATATTAAATAAGTAATTAGAATCCGACATTCTCATTTTTAATAAAAAAAAAAAAGTAAGAGAAAAAAGAAAATATTTGCAAAAAGAATCGTCTTCACCTTTGTATAAAATTACATTAAATAATAATAATAATAATAATAATATTAATAAGAATAATAATTATGAATGACGACTCAATGGCGACAATTAAATAATAAAAACTTCGTTAATTGTTTGACAAAAAAAAAACATTAATTAATTTAATTTATTTAAAAAAATTATTTATTTATTTATTTACTCATCATCATCATCATTATTATTATTTAAAAGAAAACAATAACAATTTACAATAACTAGTCAAAAACAAAAAAAAAAAAAAAAATTTATGAATGAATTGGAAAAAAAAAAAAACTACAGGATGGCACGTAAATAATTGTATTCTTTTACGTCATTTTATAGCGAAAAACAATAATAATAATAATAATATGTACGCTTTGTATATTTGATGTATTCTGCGAATTTATTATTATTATTGTTTTTTCCAATATTTTTATGTTATTTGAAAAAAAATTAAATTAAATTGTTTATTTAATAATAAATAAATAAATGAAATTGAAAAAAAAATAACAATTAATAATTAAAATAATTATTATTTTTACTTTCGCCAATTTATTTATTTATTTATTTTCCCATAGAAATTTTTTTTTATTAGAGGTGAGAAATACATAATTAAATTAATTAATAACTTTATTTATTTATTTATATAATTTTCGAGAAAGAAAACAATCGATTTAATTTAATTTTTTCTCGACACCCTTTTTTTTTTTTTTTTAAAAAAAAATTTATAATTCGTATAATAAGAGGAGGAATTGTTATTAAAAAAATAAATTAAAAACGCCATTTTGTTTTTTTTTTCCAATTCGATTTGTTTAAAAAAAAATTATTATTATTATTATTACTCGGATAATAAAAAATAAATACGTGTATGTACGAATGAGCGGGGTAAAACCAATACGTCGTCAATTTTTTTGTTAAATAATTGCACAAAAAAAAAATTGTTTATAATTATTTAAATAATATATGTTATTAACAAAAAATATACGTGCCATTGCTAATAAAAAAAAACGAGGAGGGGGATCCCAAAAAAAAATTATTATTATTATTTTTCCATCGGATTAAACAATACGAAATTATATCATTTTCCCCCCCCTCTCCCTTCAATTTACGTTTATTTATTATTTTTTTTCTGTATTCTCATCATCATCATCATCATCATCATCATCGTTTAATCAGGCATGTGTGCGTTAAAAAAAAAAAAACGTAAAAAAAAAAAAAATTATACCTAGTTTGAAAACCTAAATAATAAATGCAATATCGAAAGTTGTGAATGCCTGACGGCTATGATTCAATATTCGATTGCACCCACCATCAACCTGACAGTATCAGTTCGGGTTTCGCGCCGATACATGTTTAACTCCTTATTATTATTATTATTTTATTATTTTTTTTTTCGTTTTTTCGTTCTCCCTCTCCCCCTCCCCACTCCCCCGTTAATCGAACGCGTGTGTTATAAACGTATTCGAAATGTTTTTTTTTTTTTTTTAATTTTATTTAATTAATTAAAAATGATTTTATTAATTAAATCGAGTGTTATTAATTAATATTAATGTGTAACGTTATAAAATAATAATAATAATTAATAATAAACAACGACGACGGATTATTATTTATTTGTGACGTCATTTTAAAGGTATTTAACTTTTTTTTTTTTATTTAAATATTTTTAATTATTTTATTTAATTTAACGTTAACGTTTATAATTTTTTTTTACATGTGATCAATTCGCAAGGTTTTTAAATTTTAAATTTTTATATTTTTAAACAAAATACAGGTACAGGTTGATGAAAAAAAAAAAAAAAAAGAACACGGTGATTTTTAAAAATTTTATTACGTAATAAAATTTTTTTAAAAACCTTGAAAAAAAATTATTATTATTATTATTTTTAAAATCACATCATGCAAAAAAAAAAAAAAATTTTATTTAAAATGTAAAAAAAAAATATTAAATCCGGTGAAATTTTTCTTCATCGGATACGAATTTAATAAAAATTTAATTAATTTAATAATAATAATAAATAAAATAATAAAATAATAATAATAATAATGATAATAATAAAATAAAATTAATGGTGGGCCTTTTTTTTTCTTCGATTCGACCACGTAATTATCCATACGATAATTATTTTTGTTTTGTTTTTTTTTACTTAACAAAAAAATTGTTGAGGTGTATTCGGATCTCGTATTTACACACGTGTGCACGTGCACGTGGACACATAAACACACACACACAGACTCGCGGTGGTACAAAAAATATATATATTCATTCGCGTTATTTATTAAAAACATAAACATAACAGTAACTTTTTTTTTTTTTTTTGGATATTGTTTGTTTGTTTGTTTCAACAACAATCACAACAACCACAACTTTCACGTATCTATATATGTATAGTAACAGGAAATAATTAAATTTTTTTTTTTTTTTAATATATTATTTATTACAGTTAATAAATTTAAAATTTTGTGAAAGTAACTAAACGTGATAAACTATAACGATTTAAATTTTATATTACCGGATGTGCGAAAATTTCATTTATATCCGGTTTAATACGATTTATTAATTTTTTAAATAATTTTCGCGGGGATTTACACCCGTTAACGCTGTAGTTAAATTTTTTTTTGTCAGGTAATATTTATAAGTACTAGAAAAAAATGTAATGCGAGTGAGTAGTACTCGTAAAAAAAAAAAATGGTGTTGGCCGCACGAGGCATAATTACAAAAAAAAAAAAAATCAATATAAAAAACCAGTAGAAGAAGTTTGGATTCGAAACAAACAAAGGTTTTGTTTTTGTTTTTTTGTGGTATATAAAATAAAAAAAAAAGAGACCTGGAGGTTGAATGAGAGGTAGTAGTAGGTACGCCATATATAATTTATGGTCTGGTTTAAGACAATCCCCCCCCCTGTGGCAAATAAATAAATAAATGTAAAAAAATGCCGAGCTTTGAACCAAATGTGTTTGTCGTCGTCTCTCTCTCTTTTTTTTTTTTCGCTCTTTTGTTTGTATTCGTTTGTTGTTAAAAATTTTTTTTTTAAATGACGAAATAAACGAAGGAAATTTAAAAAAAAAAAAATTATTATTATCATCATCGTATCCGTTATTAATTAAATTAAACGTAAGTAATCGTTTGTTTTTTTTTCGTTTGTTTGTTTGTTTGTTTTTAAACGTATTACGACGCATTCGCGACGACGATACTAATTATTTACGTAATGAAAAAAAGAAAAATTATTCTAGAAATTTCGTTCGTTTTAAAATTATTTTAAGTCGCAACAAACAAACAAACAAACAAACAACTATTTAGTAAATTTGTTATTTTTGTTAATGATTTTTATTTAGGCTCGATCATTCCATATAAAAGTTCGATAACATTTAAATGACAATTTTTATATTGTTTTAAAATTTTTTGTTTTAACGTGCACGAAAATAAAAAAACGTTCCAGGATTTACTTGGAATTCCAGTAATTTAATGTAACCTTAGCCTTTTATACTATTTCTCTAAAAAAAAAAACATAATTTCATCAATAAAAAATAAATAAATAAATAATTTTTTCTATGTATAAATGCCAGAGAGATTTAATAATTTCAATGAAAACAGGTACGCGAAATATTTCGTACAAAATTGATAATAATAATAATAATAATAATAATAATAAATACCTGGAGTGGTGGAGTGTTTTAACACACATTTATAATACATTGAAAAAAAAAAAAAATCTGGAAAAAAAAATATCCGGAGGGTTTCGATGGTATAAAAAAAAATTTTTTTTTTTTGTATTTTTCGATTTGATTTTCCAGCTGGAAAAAAATTTCCATTTGGAAAAATAAAAATAATTTTCTTATATATATTTCCGTATTGAATAATGATAATTGATAAAATCAATTTTTTTTTCTTACGACTCCATTCAATTATTATTATTATTATTATTTTTTCTTAGAATTAAAATCAAAGTCGAAATGTGTTTTTTGTTTCCCCTTTAGGGTTTTACATGCTCCCCTTTGCGAGAGAGCGAGAGATGGGAGGGAAGAGAGAGATGAGGGAAGGAGAAAAAGAGATGGGAGGAGAGTGATGGAGAGAGAGGGGGGGAGAGAGAGAGCGAAAGAGAGAGGGGAGAAAGGGATTTCGCAATTAATTTTTTTTTTTTACAAAATTTTTGTTTTTCCAGATGAAAATCCTGATGGGTGTTAAAATCGGAATTTTCGTTATACTCACGTGCACGGCATTCGCATCGAATAATTACGATTACGATAAAGCATTGGAATTATCATTATTATTTTACGAAGCTCAAAGGTCTGGTTATTTACCGCCAGATAACAGAATATCCTGGAGGCAAAATTCCGGTCTTAATGACAGTAGTCCAAACGGTGACGATTTAACAGGAGGATATTACGATGGTATATTTCGTTATCATTATTACATAAATAATTATTATTATTATTATTATTATTAATTACGTCGCATTTTATATACGTACAACAAATACGTTATACAAATTATTTATTTATTTATTACTATTACAGCTGGAGATTTTGTTAAATTTGGATTTACAATGGCTAGCACGACAACTCTATTAGCCTGGGGACTTTTATCTTATAAAGACGCGTACCTGGCTTCGGGTGAGACAATCATTTTTATTTTTAAATTTATGTGTCAATTATGTACATAAATAAAACAATTATTACACTTTAAAAAAAATCTTTTATTTATATATATATATATATATATATCATGTTTTTTAAATTACTTAGATAAGTAAGTAAGTAAAAAAAAATTCTCATACATCTTCTTTATATTTTCTTTTCCTTTTTTTTACATTAATTACTAAAAATTCTTATACGAATGTGCGTGCATGTACACGTGCACGCACACACACGCACAAACACCTTACACATAAGGTTACTACATTCCTGTTATACGAAAGAGAGAGAGAGAGAGAGAGAGGGAAAGAGATTCTTAGAAAAACAGGTTTTGCAATTGAATTTTTTTCTTTTTTTTTCTTTCTATTCAACTCCATTATCATTATCATTATTATCATCATCATCATGGTGAGTGATTTGCACAATTTTTTTTTTATTTACAGGGCAATACAAACATTGTTTGAATGCAATCAAATGGGCGAGTGATTATTTTATTAAATGTCACGTGAGTCCAGATGAATTTTACGGTCAAGTTGGTGATTTCGCATTGGATCACGCATTTTGGGGTAGACCGGAAGATTTAAACATGTCCAGGCCAGCATATAAAATAGATAAAGAACATCCAGGTACAATAATAAAGGAAACACACGCACCTGTTATTATTATTATTGTTATGAATTAAACGTATGTTTTGTTTGTTTAATTTTTTTACGAGTTTATCTACATTTTATTAAGTAAATTTTTAGGATCTGATCTTGCTGGAGAAACGGCAGCTGCATTAGCCGCGGTATCCTTGGCTTTTAAATATGTCGATCCTGAGTATTCGGCCCTGTGCCTCAAGCACGGAAAACAACTATATAGTTTCGCAACTAATTATAGAGGACTTTATCACGAAGCAATCAAAGGAGCATCGCAATATTACGAGTAAGAAAATTATTAATTGATTAAAAACAAAAACATTTTCGAAAATGTCGGACATTTTAAAAAAAAAAATTCGACATTAGAAACGAATTTATTCCGATCCTAAAATTAAGTTGTCTTAAAACAAAAATTGTTTCGAAACAAACAACAATCGTTTTTTTTTTTTTTTCCAAGAAGAAACTTACGGTTCGAGTACGTAGAGCACGATATTCGATTTTTTTTTTTTTTGATTTATTATAAATTAATTATTATTATTATTATTATTATTATTATTATTTATAGATCAACGGATTATGCGGATGAATTAACATGGTCAGCTGCTTGGTTATATAAAGCAAGTAACGATTTAACGTATTTAGACGATGCCGAACATCATTACATGAAATTCAGGTTGAAAGAAAGGCCGAATGAATTTTTTTATAATAAAAAAGTTGCCGGAGTTCAGGTAAAACAAAATAATTACACAAATTTAATGACATTTTGTCATATCGTGACCGACGGAAAACGGAAATGACGTAAAAAAAGAAAAGGAAAATTTTCGAAAAGAAAAACTTTTGTTTCCGATTGTGGCATTATAATCAATTCATTTCAGATTCTTCTCGCTCAACTAACTGGTAGACCGGAATATATAGAAGCCGCACAAGCATTTTGTGATTTCATTGTCGATTATCAAAAGGTCACGCCGAAAGGTCTCACATACATCGACAAACTTGGAACTTTATGCCATGCTAGTAACGTCGCATTTGTTTGCTTACAGGTACAGGATAAAAACAACAACAACAAACGGATGTTTTTTTTTTTTTTTTTTAATCTCGTGAATTTTATTTTTTTTTTGTATTTAAATACCAAGAAGAACGTTTTTTTTACGACGTGACGTAAATCCACTTGAAATACGCGCACGCATACACGCACGCACGCACGCACGCACTTTCATTTCCAAAAAACGATACCCGTTAAATCAATACTTCAAATTTATTTATTTAAACAAATAAAAATCAATAAAAGGTGACGATGGAACGATGATGATGATGACGGTTCCATAAAAAAATAATAATAATAATAATAAAATTGCAAGTAAATCGAAAAAAAAAAAATAACAAACGACGTTTTTCTCCGAATTTTTCCAGTTTTTTGATTGTTATTGTCGTGTGTATGCAAACAAAAATTTTTTTTCCACGATATATATAAAAAACATGAATTTTAATATTATTAAAATTTAAATTTTTAAGATGAAATAATAATAATAATAATAAGGGAAACGATGACGATGACGATGATGATGATTTTCTTTCTTTTTCACTGTTTAAAATTCAGTCAAAGTATTATTATTATTATCATTATCATTCATAAATTTAAAGACGTTGAACGCTCCCTAATTTAAATAAATAAAAATTTTTTTTTTCGTCTACAGATTTATTTATCCTGTTTACGACAAACGTTTTGTTGTTTGTTTCAGGCGGCGGACATTGGTTTAAAATCATCAAGCAAATATAGAAAATTTGCCAAAAGGCAAATTGATTATATTTTGGGGGATTCGGGAAGAAGTTACCTCGTTGGTTTTGGTAAGGATTATCCGAAACAACCTCATCATGCAGCCAGGTACGCACGCGTACACGCACGCACGCACGTCTCACGTTGGTTGTTGTTGTTGTTTGTATTACAAACTCGATACCGAAAAAATTTCCGTTTTTTTTTTTCTGTTTGTAGTTCTTGTCCTAAAAGACCTGCCAAATGCGGATGGGAAGCTTATTCTCAACCAGGACCGAATCCTCAAATACTTTATGGTGCCTTAGTCAGCGGACCTGACGAAAATGATTATTACGAAGATAAAAGAGAAGAATATGTTTATAATGAAGTTACTTTAGATTATAATGCCGGATTTCAGTCGGCTGTTGCCGGTTTAAGACATTTGCAATTAATTAATGATAATAATAATAGTAATAATAATAATAATAATAAAGCCAACGGCCATAGCGTGCTGGTCACACCGGTTCCCGTACGATCACCGAAGTTAAGCAGCATCGGGCGTGGTGCAAACTTGGATGGGTGACCGTCTGAGAACGCCACGTGCTGTTGGCTTAAAAAGAGCAAAAAAAATGAGAACAAGACAAAGTAAGAACCAAAAACAAAAATCTTGTTCTACTGTCGACCTGAGGCAGCTCGACGAGAACGTGAATTTCACTGCTTCTGACCCTGGCCACTCCAAAGATGTTAGTCACCGGAGCCCAGTTCAGGAGACAAATCGTTCCCATCGAAAAAGACGGACTCAGGAAGACCTTCAAGAATTGATGTGGTGCTATCTTATAATAAGTGGCACCACCGAAATTCGAGTATTTGTCCCTAAGGAATCGGGTAGAAACCTCGGATAAATACTTAAAAAAAACTCCGACAAAGTAGCCTTGTCGTGTTTAATGGTGGATAATAATAATAATAATAATATGACAAACGTTAAAAAAACTGTATAATAAATATATACATACACGTGTACGTATGGTAAAAAATTATAAAAGTGTAAAAGTGTGTGCGTGCGTGTGTTATTAAAAAAAATATGCGTAAAATATTTGTTGCTTGTTCTTAATATTTTCTATTGATCGATTGTTTGTTCGTTTGTTTGTTATAATTTCGTTTAATTATAAATTTTTTTTGATATTTTGAATTTATTTTTAATCGATTGTAATGAAAATGTTCAGCACATTTTTTTTTTTTTTAAGGGGGGAAATTTTCTACAATTTCGGGAAAAGTTTCTTATGTCAACACCCGTCGTGATAATGAGGGGGAGGGGAGAAATGCGAAGGGGCGTAACCGGGGGAGGAAAGGGGAGGGAGAAAGTAGATCGATCGAGTTAAAAAAATAAAATTATTTTTTATTTTTATTTTGTTGTGCTTTCACATTTTTATATAATTTCGATATCGACCGGAAGTAGTAACTTGGATAATAATAATAATAATGACAATAATAATAATAATAAATTTTTTTTGACGTCCAAAAGAAATTTTTTAATTTTTTTTTTTTCGCACGGTTTCGTCTATGACTTTTTTATGTTTATTATTATTATTATTATTTTACCATTGAAATTTTTTTGGTTTGAATATGAAAAAAGAAGAAGATGGAGAAGAAGAAGAAGAAAAAAACATAAAATCTAAAAATAAAAATGTTTCTTATGTAAATTCATTAAATAAAAATAAAATAACCATATTTTTAAAAAAAATCTATAAGAGGATTATTATTAAGTGATGAACTGCGACATTTCTTTTTTTTTTTTTTAAATGACAAAAAAATGTTAATCTTTCTCACACTCTCTCTCTCTCTCTCTCACTCGTTTCTTTTTTTGGTAAAAATCTTTCACAAATAAATAAGAAAAAATATACAAAATATATATATATTTATAAATTTCCATTTTAAACTAACAAAAAAAAACTTTGTTAGCAAAAAAAAAAAAAAAAACAAGTTTTATGTATATAAAAAAAGAGAGAAAGAGAGAGAGAGAGAGAGAAAGAAAAATCAGTAAAACAAGAATTTAAAGTTTGAATGAAAAAATAAATAAATAAATAAAATTTATTTTTATGTAAAAATAAAATAAAATAAAAAAAACTTTTTTTTAAAAATTTAAATGTAGGTTAATCAAACAAAAAAAGAAAATTTATTTATTTATTTTTTGTCACATTATTTTATTTCTTTCTCTATTTATTTATTTATTTAATTATTTATAATAATTATACATGTGACGTAACGTTAAAAAAAAATTATTGATGACGTAATCGCCATAATTTTTTTAAAAATTTTACAATGAAACTCAAAAAAAAAGTTTTTTTCTTCAAATAATAATAATAATAATAAGCCGGAAAAATAAATTTTCAATTAATTGTCGTATAAAAAAAAATTATTAACAATAATAATAATAATAATAAACTAAGACTATTAAAAAAAAAAAAAAAAATTCATTGAAACGAAAAAAAGAAGTAAAAAAAAAAAAAAAATCTCCAGTCGTTTTCAAAAGAAAAAATTTTTTTTTTAAAAAATCAAACATAAATTATTTAAATTGACCATTATCATTTTTTTCCAGATTATGTATACATACATAAACTTTATTCCTTAATTATCTATAATTCCTTAACTGGAAAAAAATTTTTTTTTAACTTGATGTTTTTGTGTGTGCCCACGATGACGACGACACCATTAAAAGTGATGAAAGCAGGTTAAAAAAAAAAATTTTTTTTTGTTAAATCAAAGTCATAAATGTGATATTTATTAATTTGTGTGGGTTTTTTTTTTTTTTTCTAAGTGGCAACACCACAATTGACATTTTGATTTAAAATTATCATTTTTTTTGTACGCCTTTTTGATTAGAGACCTTTTATTATTTCCCTTATTTCGCCACTGTTATCTCGTCTAATACTCATTTTTTTATTATACAAAATTGCATTCCAATATATTTTATATCCGGTACCAATTCATTTTTTTTTTTTTTAATGAGAATCTTTTACTTTCAAGGTTTAAAAAATCGGAATGCGTGAAATAACGTTTGAACGTTTGCCATTTTTTTTTTAAATTACATAAAAAAAAAAATAATTTAATAATAATAATAATGATAAATTCCATAAAACTTTTTTTTTTTTTAACGCGTGAAAAATTTCAAAGCGATGAGAGAAGTAAATAAAAAAAAATGGATGATGGAGATTTGTAGTCGGTGGTGGTGGTGGTGGCGGTTAAATGAAAAGGTATATAAAAGAAAAATTATTTGTCAAAAAATAATTTAAATTAGAGCCCCAAACGTGTGGCGGTATTTAAATAATGAAATCCGCCATTTGTACCGACTGGGCCCACCCGCATTGAAATTTTTCAACCCATCAACTTCCGCCTCTGTAATTGTTGACTCTTTCTTATAAGCAAAAGTGTTCAAATGGTACCTTAAAAAAAAAAAAAAAAATGAAAGATGAATTCCTTGGCACATAAGTAACACGATTTCAACCAACATAATAATAATAATAATAAATTTTTTTTCTTCCAGGAGATATTTTTGAAAAAAAAAGTTCATTCGTTGTGAATATAGAAAAAACGTTGGGAAAACGACATGGAGGTAATATAATAACAATATCGTAATTTAGTTCACATGCTGTGAATATGAGAATTTTTGTAAAAGAAAAACTCGATTCTAACTTAAGGTTCACAGATGCGAGCGAGCGAGCGAGCCTGACCACAATCTACATTCCAATATGGCGACGAGAAAGGAATGCAGGTTGTTTTTTGGTACCACTAGGCTAACGCGAACGAAAGTCATCATGTTTTCTGTGTGTGTGTTTTTTTTTTAATAAAACAACAATTATTATTATTATTTTAATGTTTTTTTATTGTGTTATAGTTTTAATTTGTGAAATTTAATTTTTAAATTTTATTTCGTTCAACGTTTTATATTAACGGTTATTTTATTGTTTAAAGCAGTAGTCGAAAAAACCATTTCTTCGGTTTTTTTTAATAACAATCATCGAAAAAAAATTTCGTTTTGTGTCAATTATATATAATAATAGTTTAATAGTTAAAAATGTAAATTATTTTAATAATTATTTATTTATATAAATAATAAATCGAAAGATGTGTTTACATATACATATTATTATTATGATTAATAACGATAATAAAAGTGGTAAAGGAAATAAAATGTTTTGAGTGTGTGAATACAACCAAAAAAATTACAAATAATTTAAATAATTTGTTTTTTCGTTTAATTATTTTAATTTAATTAATTAAAATGTGACGTGTATACTGTGAAGTTTTTATTTTTGTGTTTTTTACTTTTTGCTGTTGTTATATTGAAATGACAAAAATTTTTATGGTTAAAGAAAAAAAATGTCACAAAGGGACCTGTCTGAGGTAAGTACTTTTCTTTTTTTTCAATCTAAACATTATTATTAATAATTGTAATTAATATTATTATTATGATAATATTATCAATAGTTGTGTACCTGACTGAAAGGGAGAGAGAGAGAGGGAAAGACATTAATCGATTACATAACATTTATTTATTTACTTTAAGTAATAATTAATTATTTAACAAGAACGTTAACTCTTGTGATTTTCAAATAATGAGAAAGAAAGAGAGAGAGAGACAGAGAGAGGGGAGGGGAGAGAGAGAGAGAGAGAGATGAAAAATAGAAAAAATTTATTTATTTGTTAACAACAACAAAAATTTTTATTTTTAATTTAAAAAAAATAATAATGAGGGAAGAATGAAATTGTCTAAAAGAAAAAAAAAAACTTCTTTCACCCATGTATTCGGTACCTGAAAATAATGATGATGATGATGATGATGATTGTGATGAGGTTAACACGAAGTCAAAAATATTTTTTTTTAATAACGAGGATTTTTAATGATGTTATATGATGTATTTATTTCACGCGTGGTACCTGAAAAAAAATTTTTTTTTTTTTTTTCGATGGTTTTTCGACGTGTGGATAAATTATTAATGTGTGTGACAATTAATGACGTCCTAATCGTTATTCTTTTTTCATTCTACCTACCTGTAATGTATTATTATTATTATTAGTCGTTATAAAAGGATTACCCAATATCAACTTTCACTCTTTTGTGTGTCAAAAGTCGTCGAAAATTTATTTATCATTTTGGAAAATAATTACCGGTCTTTATTTATTTATTTATTGCAATTTTTACTTTTCGGGGGTAGGGGTTAGGGGTTGAGAGGGGGGCTATGTCGCCGGTTCGACCTTAAAGATGAAAAAGATGCCGACGATGAGACGAGGGCGCCATGATGTGTTTGTGTGTTTGTTCTCGGGTTTTTTTTTTTTTTTTGAATCGTTCAATTGACAAAAAAAAAGGATCTTTTGCATCCTATAATTTCAAGCGGTTTCTTTTTTTACTTGAAAATAATAATAATATTCGTACAATAAGATGAGAGAGAGAGAGAGAGAGAAAAGAGGAAATGAGCCAACGAAGGGTAGATGATGAAGATGAAGATGGGAAAAAGGCGGAAACTGTGTGTACAAACACACTCGTGAACGTTTTTTTTTTTTTTTTTTTTTTTGGGGGGGGGATTC